AAAGTGAATTCAATGAATAGATAGGTACGACAAACAGCGCTGCCTACACGCGAATTAGCTTCCGAGGTCGAGCAGTTTGTGAAGGGAATGGCTACTTGTGGCGGTCTTCTTAGGGGCTTTCAAGGAAATTTCATTGTTGGGTTCTATGGTAGATTTGACCCATGTTCTCCTTTAGAAGCCGAGCTATAGGGCATTTACATGGGGAACAAACTAGTTATCCATAAAGGTGTTGAAGCTATTTGGGTGGAAAGTGACTCAAAGGAAGCCTTGTCTTTAATTTTGAGTGTTCAATCTAGTTTTCACTCTTTATACCCTTTAATTTAAGGGATTAGAAATCTTTTGAAATTTGTAAAATTTATCAAGTTTAGCCACATTTGTAAGGAAATGAACCAATGTGCTGATAGGTTAGCCAAAAAAGACTTAGAGGAATTAGTTTCTTTTTTCATTTTGGAAGATATCCCTCCTTTCTTGTATCCCTATCTAGGTATTGATTACTTCAATTCTTGAACTCTTAGGAGAGTTCTCTAAGTGTCTTTTTTTTAGGCTTCTAGTTCCTTTAATTAGCAAAAAAAATAAATAAAAATAATGTCTTAATTGATCCACGTGTTTATTATTGATAATTTGTTAATATACATAGATATTTATTAAAAGTTATAAAAAAATATTAAATTTAAAATATTTTATATAAAAAATAAATTGACAATTAAAAGAAAAATTAAAATATTAAATAATTTTTTTAAAAAAATACAATATTTTGTTTCAATAATAATAGCACACTATCAAATCAAGCACATATGAAATATAAAGTAAATAACAAAAGGTAGAATCATATTTACTTTAATATACATAAAAACAGCTTAATAATTTTATGACAGGGTAGCTACGGGTACATGTACGTTAATACTCGTACCTGCTCTATAATTAGGCAGAAAACAAAATCCATTTGATCACACTCACTTTTTATCTGAAAAACAAATTTTTATTCGCGGATTTACGTTGATGAAGGTAACTTTGTTATCTCTCCTAGCATTTATATTCTCAAGTTTGCAGCATTGTTAAACTCGATCTAGTACTGCATCTGAGATACTATCGGTTTCAACTCTTTTGAACCTTATAAGTACTTCTTCATTTCACAGGTTGAGAAACATAAATATTTATAAAATAATCTTAATCAAGACTCATATTCATTACGAAACTCTAAAGGATGAAACATATATGAAGAATATTTTTTAATTCAATTTTTTATTCCGTAAATGTAGGAATAAAGGATTGACAAGTAGTATTTATTCCCCATAATTGTACGCAGAACGGATTGAAATCTAGTCAATTGATCATATTCATAGAGTCTTCGATGCCACATAATGGTCACATAAAATGATTTTTATATTATATTTCAAACCATTTATACCTAATAATTTATAGAAGTTGAAAAGTCAAATTCTACAGATATATATATATATATATATATATATATATATATATATATATATATACTTTTGAAGAGAAAAATATCTTGAGCATCCAAGTATTTGTGTTGAAACAGGTAGCGCTGGCTTTTCTTTTATTCAAACTTCTCTGTTTAAATTGTTGGTCTCAGTTGCTTCATCGTCCATGTTGTTGAAGCAGTCCATTCATGCTTCAACTGTATATGTTTTGTGAATACGGAGTCAAAACACTTGCAGCGTATCCAACAATTCACAGTTGTTCTGAACTACGAGGATGAGTAATTTGGATAGCAAGAAAACATTCCAATGGTTAACGATGAATATTAAGGGTATGTTTGATTGGAAACAAACATGCTCTAAGTGAAAAAAACTAAAAACTATCAAATAAAAATCGTCTAGATTTGCCTTCGAAACATTATAGCAGCACAATAAAAACAAATAGATTACTTTGCATGTTTGATATGATTCTATAGAAAAAATAGTTATGATATTATTCTTTCTTGTTTCGTAATAGAAGTGATTATTAAATTTTTCTTGGATTATTTTTATTGCAAAAGAAATATTGTTTTAATGAATTATTATGATTATTTATAAGTTACTATATTAACTTTAAAAACTGAAAAAACATATTTTTATAATACATTAAGTAATATTTTGTATTCATAAATTACACTCACAAAGTAATAACTCACCTTGAACAATATTCACCCTTCACTACATACTAATGATTAGTCTCATTTTCATCACCGGTATGAAAATTTCTTGCTTCCCACCTTAAACTTCACCATGAAAATGAATATGGAAACAATTGATACATTTGAGAGGTATAACTACCATTTAATACCTGAGTTGGCGTTACTTGGCTCGTTGTGAATTAGACTTGGTTTTTTTGGACCAAGGTAGAAATTCTCAAACTTAATGGCGTGGGAGGTAGGGACCAGCTACTTATTAGGCTCGCATAATACTTAGTCTTTCCTTCCGCTCCCTAAATATATGGGCCCATATCGGTTCCTCAATTAGTAGGTTTTGACTCTTCGAGAGTTGAGAGAAGTTGCTATTGCTCATTTGCTCTATCATACTGTGTACAGGGTTGAGAATCTTGAGATATTATATGGCTAAAAAGAAAAAGGTTGAGATTTTTGCTCCTAATTTGTTCAATGTTGTCCAAGGATGGTATTGTAAGATATCCACGTTTGTAAATAACTCTGCATCATCATATGTCTATATGTTAAAATATTCGTATAGGATTTTGATATTTCCTAGTCAATTTGAATACGATTAGCAATTAACCTTTTGCTAGGACAAGTTAGGAATTTAATAAAAAATGCATGTGTTCATAGATCTAGAAGGTGATTTAAAGTTATTAAAAATAGAAATTCAAGCAGGCCAAAATTAAGCATCGATGTACCCTTTGCGTCAAAAGGAGAAAAATATCTATGTTGCCATTGAATTGTATGTTGTCAAAACTAAGCGATTTGGATCCTTCAACGAAGGTTCATCACGTGCCTTTCGCTTAAAATACGTATATTGGGGAAATTAAAATGCTATATGATATAAATGTTTGAGGGTTGACTTAGGAAAAATAAAAAGTTTGGTGCATTTTAACAGTAATCCATTTTTTTAGTTTTTCTTTAATCTCGATTAATTTTGAGATAACCAGAGCAACTTTTTAGCAAAGGTTTCATATTAAGTGTACATTTAAGTCAATAGTTTAATTAAATTCTTATTTAATATTTTTTTAATATATAAGAGGTTATGTTACAAATTTGACTACAAAAATTATAATTTTTAAAAAAATACTAAATTTTCAAGTTATTTTTATAATCTATTCATAAATCATTTCCAATATCTCTTAACTAAAATTGTTGTTACATAGACAATATGCAATTATGTTGTCAAAATTTCACCATATGATGTAGAAGTAATTATATTATTTTGGACTCCAAATTGTCTTTATTTATTTTGTAATTATACACACAATATTGTTGAATTTTTCCTGTAGTACTGAGAGGATATAATATTAATAATTTTATATGGTTATTACTTGAAATGTTACACGAATTATGGTTAAAAGCATAAAAAATAATCGCCCCAAAAAATCCGAATAGATGAATTTATAACCCTTCATCCTGCTATGGTTAAAAGTACAAGCATGAAAATTAATAGCATAAGTGCAAGAATGAAAAATTAGGAACAATTATGAGTTCGAATAAACTTGATTAATCTAGCTCAATTCAATATATATATATAACAAATCGAGTTTAATCGATGCAAGGTGTGATATCTCCTAAGCAATATCATATTGAATGGCTTGAATCAAAACTCAAAGTAAGAAACTATCAAAGGGAAGGCCAGCGTTAAAGTTTAAATTTTAAAGGCCCTAACTAACGATACCCACTGTTTATGGTTGTCAAGGGATCTTCTTGGCAACCCGCCAATTGTGCATCTTGTAATCTTCAATCCTTGCCACTATATGCCATATAACCTAGTGATGTTCTTGAAACCTGAGCCCAAGCTAACATAGGGTAAGTGGGCAACTCTAAGAAAAATTCTTAATTGACAATTATCTTCATAAATAGGTATTTATTGCGATTCATGACATTTTAACACCCAATAACAATTATTATAATAATAATATATGGTTTTCTCTTTTCTGACGATCTATTAATATTATCTACATAAGGTGATTACATGCACTTAAAAAGACTAACATGTATGACACTAAAGAAGGGTGGGGGGGAGGTAAAAAATGATATTACTTCCTTTTTTACGGTAACAAATAATATGCATTAAGCATATGATAAGAATGGGAAATAAGTAATTATCAAATATCAAATATATATTTTAAAATTAAGAACATTGAGGATGTCAAGATGGAGTTTTTTTATTTCTTATTAGCATCTACAGGGAAATAAATCCCGTAATTAGTGTATTTGATGATTGTTATAATTGCTTGATAAACGTAAAAGCATTTAAATTCCATTGAGAAATAAACACAGTTCTTTCAAAATATTTTTGGAAGATGCAATTTTGGTCAAGCATTTAGTAATATGATACTTGACGTGTTAAAAAGTAGAAGAAAATGAAGATGCTTACACGATGGACACATTGCAACTAATTTATTTCCCCCCAGAAAGCTTATCACTAACCACAAAATGAAGTCTTAACGTAAAGATATAAGACCCCAAAAGAAGGGAGCAATTTCTTGTTGATAATAAACACGAATTGGACAAGGAGGACGAAAGGCGTGGGAGAATAACCGAAAAATAAGCTGTATGCTCGTTTCATGCTCACACCAAACAGAGAAAGAAAAGAAAGCTGACAAAATCCCACTTAGAGAGGCGTAGCTAACTCACATTTATGGTATTTCTGATGGGCTATCAATTTTCCCCTGACTAAACATAGTAACAAGTAATTAAATGTAATCATAATGTCCATTAAATACTCATATTTAATATTTAAAAATAAATTATATTTGGGTGTGTAGGAAAATGAAAATTAGAAAACGGGGATTGAGGTGCAGGCAAGTATGAAGTTGACTAGTAGTATATTCTGAATGACATGCCGTTTACTTTGCTGTTGTTGTGGTTGCTGCTTTCCCCGCAACTCACCTTTCCTTTCTTTTTTGATCACTGAATCTGGACGTTACAAAAGGAGCCAGCCAGTCATTACTAAAACTCATTTTAAAACCCAACACAACACACAAACACACCCCAAACAAGAGAGAAGCAAAGAATAATAATAAGCTTTTCAGCTTTGTTCTTTGTTTTCCCTCTCTGAAACCAACACCACGCACGCCACTCCTCAAATTTTCCACATCACATCGTCTCTTTCCTCTAAACGGTGCGTCGTTTAACCCTTCACGAATCACAAGCTTTTTATCCACTTCAAGAATATTTCCGTTAATTTGTTTCTGTTATTCCTTTTTTTTAAAAAAAAAAAGTTGCGTGTTGTTCTTGTGGCTTCTTTCTGGGGTAGTTCTTGATTAGGGATCGCGGATCCGTGTTTGGGATTCCGTTATCGCATTACTTTTTGCTCAAGCTGAGCTTTGAGAGATTTTGAGATTTCGTGATTTTGGTTCAATTCGGAGTTAGAATCTGCTGTGAATGACTGTGTATTATCGAAGGAATTAGTGGATCTAATGGGGATTGTGGTATTCTGGTTTGATTTGGTTGGTTATTGGCTTTAACTAGCTGAATCGTGTGTTTAAGGATGTTGGATTATGGTTGCAGTTCATCGGAGTTGACTGTGTATATCGTGAACTTCAACGCCCATGTTCCTGTCCTTGTAACCTTGTTTGTTTTTATTTTGTTAGTTTTTTTTTTTTTTTTTTTTGGAATGTTTTGAACAATGAAATGAAGGAGCTTCTCATAAGAAACTCAGAATCATTTGTTTTTAACTTTACATAGAGAGAGAAGATGAGAGAAGACTCTTCTCTGCTGTAGATGTCGACCCTCTGGACGGAGATATCGATTAAGGGTGGCTAAAAGATTTCATATTTCTTGTTGTTTTCCTTTGTTTAGATGTCTCCTTGTATATGAATATAAACTCACGCTGTTTACTTGGTTACCATCGTTTATTTATCCCCCAAGTGTACTCTCTACTTCTTTTATGAAGACTCAGATTTTGTTTTGTTTTCCTAGTTGAATGAGGACCAGCGTGAGAATTTTACTCTACTGATAGGAATATGTGCTTCTTCTGATGATTTATTTATTTTTCCATACAGATAAAGCTGTGGGATTTTGAATCTAGTGATACATTTTATTGCATGAGGGCAGAGCAGTGAAAAATTCATTTTGTGTATTGGAAGCGCTAGTTCAGTATGTCTTCTGCAAGCAAGGGTGATAGGAAGGCTTCCCTTGATGCAGCATCATGGTTGTTCAATGTAGTCACGTCTGTGGGAATAATCCTTGTGAATAAGGCCCTCATGGCTACATATGGTTTTAGTTTTGGTATGGCCTCATGGTGACTCTTTATGTTCCCTTTTCTCAATCTTTGATTGGTCATGCCTTTGATTTAGAAGATGCCATTTTCTTATCTACATCTTGTTTGGATACACTAACAATCCTGTGCATCCCTTTTTGGTATAATATGTGTGTGAAGAAATAAAGAAAGAAAAATCCTTTTGGTATAATAGACTTGATGATTTATGGGTGTAATTTCACTTTGATATTATTTGTCAGCTTCATTCAGATTGTACAGTTTTAGTTACCTTGGATTTAGATTTGGTCCAGCATATATTCAATTGTGCTAACTGTATAATGACCCGATAGACTGGAAATGTTATGTAGCATGAAAATGGACAAGAAAAGATCTTATAGGGTGGCATTTAACTTAGTGAATGGTGAGAAACTGTAATTCCTGATTTTAATTTTATTTTCTAAATACAAATGATACTAAAAAATAGATACGAACTTTGAGAAAACTATACTACAAATTGTAAACCACAGGCACACACTTGATCTTCATACTTTTAATGTAGGACTTAAGTCCCATACCTTGCAATTAGATCCTAACACATTCCACAGTTTTGACACCCTGGCTGTGCAATTACCCAATGATTAGTTTCAGGCAAACATGCAATATTGGCGTCACCACCAACACTGCTCATTTGGAGTTGAGAGACACGGTGGAAGGCTCTAATACCAATTGATTATAACTTTGGGATAACAACATCAAAAAAGTTAGTTATTATAGTTAGAGAACCTAAGGCCTTATAAATTCCACACTAGAGTCTTATACATCCAATGTGAGACTCAGGTGACATACCTTCATACCTTGTAATTAGATCCCAACAAACTTTTAAGTTGATATGTTGATTATGTCTGGCTTTTATTGATGGTGTACGTTATAAAATTTTCCTAGCATGTTAAAGAAGCACCCATTATGTCTTAGTGGTAGTTGACTAGGGGACAAATTTGCATTAATATGTTGCAAGCAATACAATGTTTAGTGGAAAGGAGAGAGAGAAAGAAAATCTGAGAAAACCATATGCTTTCAGGTGATAAGCCATGGTTATACAGCCAACAAACCTGTATTAGTAATGTTCAATCCAATAAGAGCAAATTTTGCATTTTTTTTCTTCATCCAAAAAATTTGCTGTGGCTCAAGATAGGCATTCAAAATTTTTCAGTAGGAAAGCTCTTTTAAAACAACTTTATTTGCACGTTGTTCCCATTTATATATCCCACAACTACAATTGCATTAAAGTGCTGAGAGTAACATTGGATGAACAATTAAAAAATTCTTCTATAACTTGTTGACTAAAGAATAATATGGTTTATGGTTCTTCTGATGTAATTTGTAAGGCTCCAGATTATTACTTCTGAACTTCTAGACTACTCCGGAATCCTGACGTTCTATATCCTATTATGCTTTCATGCAGCTACAACTTTAACTGGTCTGCATTTTGCTACAACAACCTTGTTGACAATCATTCTTAAATCACTGGGATATATCCAGACCTCTCATCTTCCATTATCTGATATAATCAAATTTGTCTTATTTGCAAATTTTTCCATTGTTGGAATGAATGTGAGTTTAATGTGGAACTCTGTCGGTTTCTATCAGGTAACAACTGGGGTCTTTACCAAGTATTACAGTTTGAACTTTCCCTGTAACAAAGATAACTATTTATGCTGATTATGTCCTATGAAATAAAATTGTCAGATTGCTAAGCTGAGCATGATTCCAGTATCTTGTTTCCTGGAGGTTGTCTTGGACAATGTACGATATTCAAGGGACACAAAGCTTAGTATTGTTTTGGTTTTGCTTGGTGTTGCTGTCTGTACAGTCACCGATGTTAGTGTTAATGCAAAGGGTTTCATAGCTGCTGTAATAGCAGTATGGAGCACAGCACTGCAACAGTATGTAAGTAACCTACACTATCATCAAATACTGAATCTTGAGATGGTAGATAGAAACTGATCAATTTGAATTCCTTGTCATAAAGTCAATTCTAGATTGGTGAATGTTCACTTCTAGGTTCATGAATCTTGATGCTTATCAGCAACATTCATGTAATTACAATTAATCAGCTTTGTTATATGTCAAAAAATGGCAAATTGGCAAACCTGCTATGATTTTTCTGTCTTCTCACTTCTGCCTTTTTATTATCACAAGAAGTATTATCAGGTGCATCTTCAGGAACAGACTTAAATAAATTGCTTAAGTTCATTATAGTTCGAAGTATTCCTGTTTTATTCGGATTTCACAGATCTCTGTATTGTTTGGCTGATTTTTAACATTACATTCTGTGCAGTATGTGCATTTTCTTCAAAGGAAGTATTCTATTGGGTCGTTTAACTTGTTGGGCCACACTGCACCAGCACAGGCAGCAAGTTTACTGCTAGTAGGCCCCTTTCTGGACTATTGGTTGACAAACAAACGAGTTGATGCCTACGACTATGGTTTTACATCCACTGTAAGTGTCTCTATTTATTTTCTGGTATTCTTTTCTTTTTAATGTATTTTTGTGAGGAGGGAGGTAAGCATAGACTTTTGCAATTTATTTATATATCAGGTTTATGATGCTTTATTTTTTGGGGGATTGAGAAGTTTAGACTTCTATTAAAATAACTTGCAATGGCAGGGACTAATCTGGCATGTTGTGCATCTCTGGCTTGGGTGAATTTTATATCCAACGTAAAATGTAGTATTCTTCATATTGCTTATTATGGAATTGGATGCCAAATTCTACTGCCTAAATTAGTGTCAGATTACTGACATTGATAAAAATTCCTCTGGTTGACTAAGGTTAAGCTCAAGTCGTAATTAATCCGTCCTGCTTTTCCAACCATTTTGTCAATTTATGACTCCTGTCTGTAAGCGTTGCTTTCAGCCATAAGTTTAAGAAAGTTCATTCCTTTAAGAGTGTTTGAAAACTCCAGATTTGCCGGTTGATTAAAAAGGGTCGGTAAATGCATTTGAAGTTCAAAGTATTATAATAATCCAGATAACTACATTCATGCGCATCATTCTTTTCAGAGTGATATTATTACCTTTTAAGTCTCTCTGGAAGAGGTGGAGTTTTATTCTTAACAGACGCATTCTTCTTTACCTTTCCCATTTTTTGACTCCCTATAGCTGATATTTAGTTAACTTTAGCTTTACAAGACTAATAGCATCTCTAGGTACAATCTGACACACTTCTTTCTAAATTTTTGCATTTTCAGAATGTTTAGAATAGAAAAGAAAGTAATCCTGGAAAGTGGTGCGTCATTATTTCTGTATTTTGTGCAAACTTGTATCACTTGGGACATTAACTGATCCCTTAAATTCATTTAGATACTTGAATGTTAGGTTCTTTGTATTCTTAACGGAACCAATCAAGTATAAAATATTAAATAAGTTTTGAACAATTTTCTGTTACTTTTAGGATCTATCAGATTTGTTTATCATGTACAATATGGAGGAGAAACTATATGAATCATTTACTTATTTGAAGTTTCATGTGAATCTTCAAGATTTTAATTATATTTATATAATCTTGTTTTTGTAGACCAACCTCCTATTTTTGTATGTATCTTATGCTCATATATCTTACTTATTGGAGATATGTATTTCATCCACCCTGATTTGCCAGTGTTGCTCCTACAATTATTTCCTTGACTTATGATGTTTTCTTGAACCTAATGCTTAACATAATCAGTCGCATGCTTATCCATACAGTACCTGAAAAAGACATGAAAGACTCGCATCCATGTAAATTTCTATAATGGTGTCATTTGTATACATGTAAAAGGCATGAAAGACACTATCATCCATGTATATTGGCTTGTATCTCTATACTGGTGGCATTCATATACATGTTGCTTGTATCTCTATAATGGTGAGCAGGGGCATAAATATAGCTCTTATTTTTATTCACAAAAGCACTGTGTTCTTGACAATTTGTACTCGTGAATAACTAGTTGCTTGCAATACGTTCAAAACTTGTGAGGGTGCTCATCCTTGGTCTACCTCACAACCAAATCTAGTTCTTCTTGTCAATTTGTTTTTCAGTGGATTTGGTCCTATCCCTTTCACTTAGAAAAATACTGTCTTTTTTGACAAATGCAATTTATTCTATATAGGGACCAACTGTTTCCTGTGCATGGAATCCTACCTTGCATGCTTTATTGGTGTCTTTCTCTCTGAAAATGACAGTCATTTTCCTTGGAAAAAAAAGACAATCCAAATATGTCTACACTTTGTGTCAACTTCATGAATATTGTACAGTGTACCTTCACTCAAAAATAAAAAACAATTATGAATACTGTGACTACTGGAATAGTATTATTATTAAACTGAGCTGCTTCTGCTGTCTGCAGTTGTTTATCATCCTGTCCTGCACCATTGCAGTAGGTACAAACCTCAGCCAGTTCATCTGCATTGGTAGGTTCACGGCTGTATCATTCCAAGTCCTTGGCCATATGAAGACTATTCTGGTCCTGATCTTAGGATTCATTTTCTTTGGAAAAGAGGGTCTCAATCTACATGTTGTTCTAGGCATGATCATTGCAATAGCGGGAATGATCTGGTATGGCAATTCTTCTTCTAAGCCAGGGGGGAAGGAACGTCGTAGCTTTTCCCTTCCTACCACCAAAACCCAAGATTATAGTGCTCTACCTGTGTCCTCTGAACCAGATGCGAAAGTATAGAAAACAGTAGAAATTTACATGAGAACATGGTGAAACTTTTGGTGAAGTGCGTGGAAAAATCAGGTGCCCTTTAGGCGAGCTGATTCAGTTTCTTTATACCTAGAGGGAATTCCCAATTATTTATAGATCTTAGTCATGTCTTTGCTTTTTGCGTTAAGGAATTGTTTGGGAGGGAGGGGGAGGACAACACATTGTTAAAGGAGGAAAATTCTACATTATGTTCCATTTTTTTATAGTAGAAAAATGTTGCTATCACTTTTATAGTAATGTGTAATTCCATTTTTACCATCGGGGTTGGTTGAATTGTAACATGCTCATGACAACTACGTTATTTGGGTTCAGATATAGTATGTGTTGAATTCAAATATAGGAATCTGTGTTGGTAGAGGATCTATAATGGTAGTGTAAACCACTTTGGTAGTTTGGCTCCACCTTAGAATGGATACAACTTTTTCTCAGCCTCAGCTTTTTGTAAATAAAACTGCAATTTCGTTTTCAAAAAGATTGCTGTGTTAAAACAAGCAACCTAAAACTCAACAAAGAAACCAGACATACAAGGAATAAAAAGGAAATGAAAAGTTGATATTGCCTTGACAGCCCGGGCCACGGGCATGCATGGACAGCGTTGCAGCCTATGGATTATTAGTGGTCTTAATTACCCTGTTAAAAAACCACTATTACCTTGGAATCCAATCTCTAGATTTCAGCGGGCGGAACTTATTTTTATAAAATAAGGATTGTGGCCTCAAATATTCTCTAAAGTTAAAGTAAATTTTATATGTATGACAAATAAAAATAATTAGGCACTCATTTGTCTCTAAGAAAGAAAAATAAAGCTAATGGCCTCATAAAATAAGTTGTACCGCCGGTCGCCAGAGCTAAATAAAAGAGCATAGTAAATGCCTAACGTTATGTTAGGTGGGCTTCGCAGTAACGTAATCCTGAATAATTGAAGTTGCTTTCTGGAGGGTTTTTGTAGGATTCACTTGCTATGGTCCCAACAACAGCTAGATCTGCATATTTAACACAGCACTTTTGAGACAATGGGAAAGCAGGACCTGTAATAAAAGCCTGATTTTCTGAGACATGGGGAATGATGCATTCATGCAAAACAGTAAAAATTAGGTTAAAACTTGACATTTTAAGGCGTCACGTACCAGCACTTCTGTAGCAGCAGGTCAGCACCTGGCTCTGTCCCAGACTATAACATTAGGATTTCCTTTTTCCCTTTTGCTTGAAATATCTTTTTACTCTCTCGTTTTCATATAATTTTATTATGTAAATTGTATGGCTTAATTGGCTTTCCACTTGCTAGTTTCAGATTGACCGCAGAGTGCGTTGTTTTTTGTTTCAGAGAATTAATTTTATAACAAAAATAAAATGCTTCTTTATTGTCAATTAATTTTACAGGATAAATTTAAGGTTTGGCAAAGGCATTTTTTTTACTTTTCTGATGCAATATTTTGGATAGATTCTATGTTGTTTCAATTCGTTATTTTGTCTTGACTCTTGATCAAAATGTATCTTCAAAATATTTATTTTATTTTGATGATTTCGCAACAGAAAAATCATTTTCTTTATCCTATGTTTTAATAGACTCATTCTCACAACTAAGCATTTTAAGCATACATTTCTTCAAAAAAAGTTTTCTACTATTTGCTCACATAAACATTTTATCCCAAATAAAAAATAAAAAAAAGAGTTCTTGGAAATTAGGTATATTGACTTTTGCATTCTTTGTTTATTAATTATGGAAGATGTTCGATGATGGAGAAATTTGTTGGTTGCTGAGGACAATGGGGAGGAATCCGTTATAGTTGCAGAAAGAGATCGCCAATGAGAAGTCTATGCTTATGTTTGTTGTTGAGATACTGCTAGCCCCTGACTCAACGAGAATTGCCACTACGTTCCTTCGATGTCAATATCCTAAGAGTGACCTGCTTTGATGGCTGGTATACTATGTCCACAACTATTTTTATGGGTTATAATATATATATATATCATCAAATAATGATAATTAATGTAACATAAAGAAAACTTTTACTAGAATAAAAAAAAAACTAACGGATATTTAAGGATGCATATTAAGAGATTATACATAGTAAAATTTAATTAAAATTATAAAATTCAATGCCTAAATAGCTTTAAATTCTATAATTTTTAGTTAAAAATATTATTTCTGAATTTTTACTGTGTTTCTAAATACACATTAAAAATAAAGATATATTTATTCCAATAATGAGTTTGTTTGATCAAACGTAAAATAAAATGATATTGTATTATAACCCTTTTCTAGAAGTTTTTCGGAAGGTTCTATTGTTTTTAGTTTGAGAAAAATATTAAGATATTTTAAATTTTTTTAGTTTTTGAAAATTTTACGTAATTACTATAACAAATTTAAAATATAAGTAAAACTATTTCCCTTCAAAAAAATATCAATCCTTTTGTCTTAATTAATAACCAGTGGATCGTTATTTAATTAACGGTAGTATTCTCAATTTGTTTTCTTTTGTCGTATTATTTATCAAATCTTTATTTAATTGTGTGGATTAACATTAATTAATTAAATAATTAGAATATATTACAATTGTTGATATCATTTATGAGAATCATTTATTGAATTCTACTACATGTCTAATTGATAAAAATTATCCATAATGTGTTTGGTCACTCATTTTGATATGAGCTGAGAAGTCCTTGGTTTTACCTGTTAAGTAAAATGCTTCCATCGAGCAGTTTTTCAGTACACAAATTCTCACATCCTTCTTATTAGACGGAAAACAGTTTCCCTCATTTCCTTCGCTTTTCTCTTACATTCTGCATACATTTATGGTGCTAAAAAAATTAAATAGATCCCTCAACAATGACAGGAACATGCATTCTAATTTGATTCTCTCTAAAGTTCGTATTAGAACATGTTATAATTATGTGTCTCTATAAATTGTTCTAAGTGTAATTGCTTTTGGAATTTTTTAGAAATAATTTTATAACAAATCTAAAAACATTTGTGGCTTATATGTTGATCTAAAATTATTTACTTTTGAGTTTTTCTTATTTCTATCATACTGTTATTAAAGAGTTGCAATTAGAAAAGTTAAGGATTTTAAAGATATCACCCACGGATATATAAATAGGATATTATATTACTTATTTTTATATTTGTATTTGAAAAAATTATTTACACTCGAAGTCATATCCATACTACTGATAATAACTATAATCTATATCTACATAGAATATGGCTACTTAGATTAAATATAAGTTAATATGGCAAATATTACAAAATAAAAATATATATATGACTACATAAGTGAAAAAGTATATATAATTTTTTTGCAACAAAAGCTTAAACTTAAAACGTAAAAATAATTATAGAGATAATCCATTATTGAACACAAATATAACTTACGATCTCATTATTGGTAAACCTAACTTTTTATGGAATGGAAACTATCTTGCAGGTTCTAGCTGCTAATAATAAATAGCTATAATTTTTTTCGTGTTTTCTAAATTATATATATATATATGAGCTATGAATTTGTTGGAAAAAAATAGACCAAATTGAACTAATTTATTCAATTCTTTTTCAACAAAAACCAAACCAAACTGACTTTGCCTTCCACATAAATTAAGATTTTTTTTTCCTATTAAAGGTCCTATCCCTTTTAAAACAAAGTTTATATCGAAGTAGATTTTACCCTTTTTAATGTTTTTTTATATTCATGGATAAGAATGGACCCATGAAAAAAATATTTAATAAATACAACTATATACTAACAATACTTAGATTTTGTTAAAATTATTTTAGATATGTATTGAGGTGAGCAAAATCCTCGGAGTTAAAACAGAAGAAAGCGTAGACGGTTAGCATTTCCAGCGTAACGAGGTGACCATTTTTCTGGTTTTCTTTTATCATTCACCTAACTGCTACTCTTAAATTTAGTTGAATTTTGTCACAAATTCTGTGAACCCTTTTTTAGCTATAGAACATTACAATAGGAAGAATGATGATAAAGAAAAAATTTCCGAGAAATCTGCTCATAAAATGCCAAAATTTAGGTTCTAATACAGCTGCTACAAGGTCCCACTTTATTGAATTTATCTGTGTAAGAGAGACCAAGCCATCCTGGCCTAACAATTCGGTGGGAAATGGAAATTATTAGTAGACGATCTTATAATTGTACACTTGCTATTTGTGTTTATCTATCTATTTCCACACTATCAGTTTCAGGTTTATAAAGTTGATTTTTTTTACACGTGTGAAGATTTGCATTAAATAACTTGCCTAGAATGACATGTTAATTCAAGACAACACTGTTAAAAAGGTTCAAATTTCCAAAATTAAGATCAACTACGACATGCTTACTTTTGCCATGACCTTGATCGATGTTGCAAATGTTTTCAAATGATCCCCTCCCTATCCCTCAGTGCCTAGCAATGCCGGGGGACAAAAAGCATTTGGTCAGATTCAAGACCCATTATGGGAAAACCAAAAAATAATAATAATAATAATCTCAAAATTTTTCTAATTAAATGACATATCATAGTTACTAATTAAAGTGGTAGCTCGGTAATGTAACCAAGATTAAGGGAAAAAGGCATCCTCTCTCTGGCATTTACATTGTTCATTGCCAAAATAATTGGGTAGGGTCGCTCTCAAAAGGTCATGGCTCTCGTGTGGCATTGATTTTCATTCTCATTTCTCTTTTGTACTTGTTATTATTTGATGCAAAGAAAGACCAAAAAGACGGCGAGACCCACCCACATACCCCTTTCCCTCCCTCCATATCTCTCTCTAGGAGATGATAAAAGCATAGATAATAATCATAGAACTTTCATTAACATCCCTTTTATTTATTTAACTTTAAAGATTTAGGGTCTCTCTCACACACCCCTTTGTGCATGTCCTTCCTTGAATTCTTGGGGCACCCCACAGGCCCCCTCCTTCAATGTTCTCACACCTAGCTAGCTTGATGCACTTACTCCTCCTAATAACACAAGGTACATGGACCCACCTAGTCCTTTCATGTAGGACCCTCCAACTCTTCAATTATTTTATGCGCGTGCTTGTGCACGTGTGGTGTCCTCTCCGTCCCTATCTCTCATTCATCCCTTAATTGGCTTGGAGCAACACCCACACACACCATACCTCAATTAATTAATATCATTAATACAATTATTATGGATAGAATATATTACTATTTTCTCATTAATTTCACCCTCTCAGAATAATGTTAGCTTAGCCTCCTAATAGTAACTTAGTAACACTCACAAGTTGGCCAACGTGTCGGTGACCCAGCAGTCAAACCTATCTATATGCTCCATCAAATTCTGTTATTTTCGCCACGTAATCGCACTGGACACAAGCACGTGTTCATTGCAGCTTCAGGTCCCTCCCCATTATAATCATCACCATCATCATCATTTT